AAGACTGACCAAGGGACAAAGTACATTGTTATCTAGAACAAGTTTATCTCTATGAGCTGCAGACAAGCCAATTTTTCCTGGCTTTTGCAGCAAGCTTTGTTTATGAAATGTTGTAATATTTTTGAGATTTTCCAAATAAAATAAATTGAATATCAGCTGAATCTTTTTAGGCTACTGCACTGCACTGTACTTTCAAACCGAAGAATTTTATTGTCAAGCGATGCCTGTGAAGAGCTTCAGTTTGCCCACTTAAATCCACTGTAAAATTGTTGGAAAAATCTTCATTAATTTTCCAGCTACTTCGTTCGAATTCATGAAGTCTGAAATTGGATGAAGTCCAACTGACTTCGACTTCTCCATCAAAAGTCAACTGTTTTGCACAGCTGATAATCGCACAACATGATCGATTATACGCTTTACTACAACACACGCGTTTTAAACGGTTTGGTCCTAAATTGAGAATATTAATAACTTAAACCGTACAACGTAAATTGAAGAGTAGGAGGGATGTCTAGTCCCCCTAGTTTCGAGTTCATTCGCGTTAGATTCCTCTAGAATATGCAGAGAATTAGTAACAACATACATTGGGGGATTTCGACTAAATCAATATACTTTGTATACAGGGTATCCCGGAACTCTCTACCAATAATTTAGGACATTTTCCCTAAGTAAAAAACATATCTAAATATCATATTTAAATTGCCCGGAAGTCCTTAGTTAGTCACGCAGCCGCTATTTTGTTTTTTTCACTCACTAATTTTTTCTAAAAAGTGGTTAAAGACACTAAATTGAAACTTTGCACAAACATTTATGTCAACTAGACAAAGCTACAAAAAATTATGAACATTTTCCAAACTCATAAAACAAAATGGCGGCCATTTAGTTTAACTAAGGACTTCCGGACAATTTAAATATGCTATTTAGATAAGTTTCTTACTTAGGGAAAAAATGCCCTGAATTATTGGTAGAGAGTTCCGGGACACCCTGTATATATTTATATATATTTACAATTAAAGATGTGACATTAGAACAGTGTCCAGTACTATAGTGCTCTTTTAAAAACATATGATGGGGTAGGGATTGTTCCACTTGTAAGTATAATCGATCTATGGCATGGCCAGTTTATTGTTTATGTATGGCCGGTAATAGTATATTTCGTACCTAGGGCCGAAAATGAGGTTTTGCCGGCTCGAGATAGTTTTTAAGTTTGAGACGAAGTCGAGAACTTAAATCGATCGAGAGCTACAAAACCATTTCGGTCCGTGGTACGAACGCTATTTTTCACCACACTATACCCTATTACCACTATTCGCCACAATAATAATGCACACTGATAGTCAACACAACTACAACAGGTTATGTGAAGAAATAATTTGAGGAATCAGCAAAAATAAAAATAAATAGTTCCTAGGCAACGGTGACAATAACACAATTCTATTGCAATGCTATGGATTTTGATTGTGTATTTACCTAACCCGCCATGTTAAACTTCCCTATCCCAAGCGTGATGTATACAACTTCCTTACTTCTCGAGTGATGTAAAGTTGAAAAAAAAACTCACTCGGTGATGTAATGAAACCCATTTAAATAACATTGAGTGGATAACTTAAAAAATATACCTCTATGGAGCCAACGACGTTCAACGCTAGAAATCAGCTGTGTTTGAATTTTATTGTTATGCTTTGAAGAATTTTCCTAACTTAGCTTTTGTTTGTAAATGAACGTTACTGTTAGAAGATGAGTGAAATTGATAATGAAGCATAATATTGCTCGTGACCTCCTGAATATTGTCGGGTCAGGTAAAATCTTGTACGTTACACGTTACGCAAGAGCGTGTTTACATCACTTCGGTGAATTATGCAACTCGCCTTCGCTCGTTGCACAACATTCACCTGCGTGATGTAAAAACGCTCTTACTACACTTGTAATGTAAATAGCTATTACAATGCATTCATGTTTTAAGTAAGTAAGCGGACAGCTGATTTTGCGGCCCCGGCCTGTAAAAACCTGCTCGGTCCCCAAATTACGATGACAGCTGGCATAGCCAGCAAAACGTAACTTTCAGCCACCAATTAACCTATGTAATACAGCCAAAAACATCATACTGTGGTGAAAAATGTTATTGTATACGCATTCTGTTTTATCAAGTGGTAGGCCTATTTTGTTTGTAAACTGGCAAGGTAGTCTCTAATATTTTGTATGTGTGGGATGTTTAGATCTTTCCCCAATTTTGTGATCATTTGGGCAGAAATAGTACGGCATCTATTAAAGTCCTTCGATTTTATTGGTTCCTCTCCGGATTTAAGTTCTAGTACTTTTAGAATTACTACGAATAACTACGAATAGCAAAAATTTTCCTTAAAATAAAAGGTGTGAAATTTAATGTTTGCTATGTCTATTATCTACATTGAAGACGGAGATTTTCAATTTCTTTTTCATTTTTAGGCAATTTTTGGTACCGGTTGTTAAGATTATGCACTTACACTTACTCTTACTCTTATCGTTATTGGAGATTATAATTATATTTAATCGTTGGGCGATTCTTGAGTATTTTCAAGAAATGTACAATAGAAGATTGTAGGAAATTGTATTCTCTTTCGGAATATTACCTTCCACTATGGTCGATTTCCTCGCCATTTAAAAGCTATTTGCAAAAACATCAAGCAACCTCCAAATTTCTAGTGGTAAAAAAAGTTGGAGATGACTTTTTAAATTTTTACAATTAAATCTACAGTTCTGCTGGATCGATTTTGTTAAATAATATGTGTCTTTAGAAGGCATAAACTCTTTGAGTTGCTTTTTCGTTTGATGTGTATTTTATAGTGGTAAGTTTAATAGTATAAAAGTTATAAAGCGTTAAAACCGGGTCATTCATTTTGAAACACCCGGTACTGCACTATTGTTACTAAATTTAACATGACGATTGTTTAGAGTTCAGCATCCATAATGTTTTGCAGGTTTAAACAAAACAGAAAAGGCTCCATCGCTACAGCTGTGAAAGTGATGATGCTATTGTAACATGTCTATTCAATAGAAAAACATTATGTAAACTAATTCCAAACTAAACACTTGCCGGAGTTTAAAATCCAGTTCACAATCAATCGCGGAATATTTCTAAGTACATAATGAGAATGAGTCCTTTTCCAAGGGAATTTAGTTTGATTTTTGCGACTATAAAGCTTTGGAAAATTCAAATTTGCCTTGTTGTCAAAGTTACCTTGTTTTATCTTTTCACTGCCATCACCACACCAATAATTCACAACCTACAAACGAGAACATTCCAAAGACTACAAAACGAAACACAGTGTCGCCACAAACTTGTACAGTATAAATCCTATTTAAGGAAAGGAAATATATGCAAAACTGGTATTTACAAACTAGTATTTTTTGGCTTGTATTTTGTGGGCCATTTTGTTTCTTTAGGTTTATGTGTTTTTATGGAGAATTTTGTAAAACTTTGTATGTAGTTTGCTTTTTTAAGGGGTATTGATCAAACTTGGCAAATGTATTTATTTTACAATTCGCTATTAACACTTTACTAAAAAACACACTTTATTAGTTTCCTTATAGCAGCAAACCTAGGTCCTCGTTAAACCTAATGTTATTTAAATAGATTTAATTGAAAATCTATTTAGACAAACAGAAATTCGCTTAGTCGGCAGGTTTGCTGTTGCGGGGGAATTTTAATTTGAACTAGAACTACTTCAAGCTAAAGTACAACCATAGGTACAACTGATAATCCCTCGCGGCCGTGAGGATATCATTATTGTATCTCCTTCCGTCCTGTAGAGATCGTAATCGCCTCCCGTGATAGCGGCACAATTTTGACTTTTTCCCGCGGCCGTGTGGACATTATCATTGGATTGTCTCCCGTCATCGAAGCAGGCTCTGTGTATATCATCATTTTCTTTGGCGATCGCGGCAAAATCATTATCATATCCTGCGTTCGTGTGGACATTATCATCGTCTTTTGCGATCGCGTAAAAATTCTGATCATGCCTCGCGGCTGTGTGTAGACATAGTACTATCGTCTCCCGCGGTTACAGTACAGAAACGTCACTGTAGTCATGCGCGATCGCGGTAAGTTGACAATTACAGGTATAACAAAATTCACTCATAATTACGGTACCGGTTCAAATAAACTCACGCATATTTCCCGGATTTCCTGGTCAGTGGACACACTATGTATGTATATTGCAAAGGGGCGCTACTATTAGTTGTGCCCATAGGGCGCTGTCAGGGTGAAAAACGGACCTGGTTTTGCCTCCAGTGTCATTTAGAGGCTTCTGATTGGCTTCAGATCCAAGACGTCTAAGAAAATTAAACTAACCAAACTTGCTGATGATGAAAAAATCGAATGAAGGTAAAAAAATCAAAAAATAGTTCTGTTTATAAAATAAAACTATAAATGCCTCAAATTAAATTTTAATTTTTTTTTTAATTATAAAATTAAATTGTCATAACCTAACCATAAAGTTGCTGATAACGAAAAAATCCAAAGAAAAATAAAAAATCCAATGAAATCCAACTAGTCAAACAAATATTTCTGTTCATAAAATAAATTTTTTAATGCCTCACATTCTAACAAAAGATGTACTACAGCTAATAAAACAAAGAGTTAATGCTATCGGTGGGATTCGATCTGGCTACCTTCAATTCTTCAGCCAGGAACGCTTCCACTACACCATCGAGGCCGATGGCTCTATTCCGTATCGTTGCGGTATGGTGTTCCCTCAAGAGAAGAGATCTGGCAGCTGACGTCATCGAAGGCTCTTCTATACCTCCCTTGAGTAAATACCCATTCTCTACCAGGTGTAAGTGCTGGTGAAAATTATCTTATTTCACCAACACAATGTAGTGTATTATATTGGTCACATTATAATTATGATGAATTATAGTGTGTGACTTCTCATACAGAGGAGTGTGACTGCTGCTAGACTAGGTATGTGTTTACAAAACTTTTACTAAGGGGCTGAACGAATTTAAATATAAATACAAAACATTTTTCTACAAAACATTTATTTTCAGTAACAGTAATACTTATTTCATAACATTATTTGTATTCCAACTATTCTATATTTTACACTATTTACAACTTATGAAGATCACAGCACGAGGACAGTCATTTTTGCTTAGGTTTTGCTTTTCTTTGTCAAAACTAAAGTATATATCGGTTGGTTTTATTTCAAATTTGTTTATTTTACTACAGATACTGGAAAATATGAAAAATATTTCTGAAGATTAAACATTTATAGTATTTTTAAAGGTAAATCAAAAGGTAATTTTTAAAGTATACATAATCTGTTGCTGTAATGATTAGAATTGGTGTATGATGTTAAAAATATTCTTGTTAATCCCGATCAGTTAGCTCCTTAATGATAACTACATTTGGGCTCTTTATAGGAGACATGAAAACAAATTCACCAGCATTACCTATAACTATGACATATACAAACTAAAAACACACATTATAAAGAGTGCACTAATACTCTTTCAAATAAAATTATTATTTACACATGTACACATTATTAATAAAACTATACAAGACTGCATTCCTTATGCATTCTTCTGTATTTTTTAATTGGTAGACACACCGATAGTTTAAGAACATAAAATGAATTTTATTTCCTCCTTTATTGCTTGTCCTGTATATACAGTATTACCATTGACTATTGATAGAATATTCAGTATAGATACAAAAGTCAATGGTATTACACAATACACAAGGAAATAGATTGTACACAATCTGGTACTTCTTTGACTGTTTTAAATTCAAGATATTCTTCAATCTCAAAATACATCAGATTGAGGAATATTTTATCCTGGATAAAGGAGACTTAACTTATTTTCCTGTTGTAAGGATTGACCACAGGATACTAATTTTGAGTTTTGAAAACCCCTTTGGTGTCTAGATATCACATTTGTCCGTAAAATCTACTCTTAACTTTCAAAATTAATGTTCTAAACATTGTTCATCCCTTTAACGATGGTCACTTTGCTCTTGCCGTTGAGGAGTTTAAGTTCCTCTTGTGCCAGTTTTGGTTTCTCGGTCGGGAGGAACCCTCGCATCCACGGTGTTATGGTCCGCCTGTCCAGAGTGTCCAGACATTGGCCTCCGGTGAGGTAGGACACCAGGAAGCCGATTACGAGGCCGACTAGAGTCCCCATCGTGCAGTAGTACATGTAGGACAACTGGAACATCTGGGGAACATCCGAGTCTGCCTCAACAAGGGAGCTCGGCCCTGTGTAGCTGCTGAGATAGGCCATCGTGGAACTGCAAAAATAATTGTTGTTATTGCTGTGCTTCATTTTACAACAGTAAGGAAATTTCCTTTATTTCAAAAAGATGTAGCCTAACACTGTTTAGACTGAAAAATTACATCCTAGAACTTTGTGATGTTTTTCAAGGATTTTAATCTAATTGATCCAACAAACTTTTTTAAAGAGAGCTGGTAAGTTGAATTTTTTTTCTGTGCAAGCAACTTTTATCATCAATAAGTTTTTAAATTGAATTTTTTTATAAATATTTATAATTGGTCTTGATCATTGGGAGAAAAGAGAAACGGAATTAATTCACAAAATGACAACACATTTAAAAGTTTGGACCTCTTTTCCTTTAAATGTGTTTAGTGACCATTTTTTCTTTTGTTGACATAGGAAAATCAAGTATTTAACAAACACCTTGTTGAAGCTCTAAATTTTGAGAATCTGTAATGAATTTATCAAATAATCATTTTAAGATATAAACACTCAAATAAAGTTATAATCAATAATATTGTGTAGGGGTACTTACTTGTTTATTGCAATGTCCAGAGGGCATTGGTCAACAGTCGTGATTTTCCCCGGAAATCTTATTTTCCCCATGAGCACGTATAACTGGGACCCTCCGACAAGGACAGCCATAGATGTCAGACTGGATATCGCTCCCCATATCGCTCCCTGCAATTGATATACAAATTAAATACACTGGTAAAAAATAATGTACAGAAAAATTAAAATACTCGTAATATTATTTAATATTGCATTGTCATTTATTTGTGAGCTATGTTTCAAGTCTCTAGCTCATCGGGAAGTATGTTTGAATAACTTGGAATGTCTGAGCACAATCTGTTAAATTTTGCTTGTGTGAGCAAAACAAGAAGGTTAGTAAAATATTTAATTTTTAACTTTTTCAGTCATTTATTTGTTTATAAAAAGTTATTTTTTTTAATTTAGGACTTTAAACCATGATAAAAAATGATGGGTGTAGATTAGGATTTACAAACAGACTTTTTGGTACTGAAGTACCAGTCAAAACCAAAATATTATTTTAAAATTATCCTAATATTATGAAGAACTTACGTTAGAATTGACCCATGGAAAGAAGAGTCCGACAGAGAATATGTAGATCATCGGACCATGAGTGATACTGGTCAAACTCATTGCCATCTGAAAATGGGAAATTTAAAGTTATAACAACAAAATTAATGGTAAATACAAATTGAAATGTATAGTTTTCCAACTTTTTTCTGTCTTATTACTCTCCTCTGAACTCATCCATAAAACTAGTTGAGTTTTGTATTTATAGTACTCCTGTCACGTTGAAGCTAAAGATTAGCAGATTTCATTATAAGAAATCTGAAGAAGTAATTTATTCATTTTTGCCCCCAAGATTGAATCAATGACCATAAGTTGCATACCTTTTGCAGTTCTCAACTTACAACTATTATTCTGTGGCAAGTTTTAGATTAGTGCTCCATTTTCAAATCTCGTGTGATTGTGCAGTTTTTCTTCAACCTAAATTGCCACAAGAAACATTAAAATGTTATTTAATTTCTTAACACACTCACTCCTGGGTGTCTGGAGAGTCTACATACAGAGACTGAACCTGTTAATGTTACTTGTGACATTTGTATTTAAGACTGTTGTTACATACAATCTTATGGGATTTAAAAATGGAACAATAATGCTCTGAAAATTACATTGGTAGTATAAGTCAATCAGAAAATCCAACCTGCATAAGATCTCCAAGCCTCTCCACAACAAAGATGAGCAGCACGCAGCATCCTCCCACAGTCAGCACTATCAGCTTCATCAGCAGGGAAGCTGTGGCATCAGACTTGGGTGACTTTTTGTAGTAAGGTGCGATAAAGTCTTCATAGAGCGTCCCCGACACTGTGTTTAGACTGGCAGACATCGTACTGCAACACAAAATACTTGTTTAGTCACCAAGCAGAAACAGTTAAAACCTTTGACTATCGATAGCCATGTTAAGCTGTCGCCAGTTTTATATCACAATGGATGCAGTTGTATTGAGCTACAGCAGATTCTAGTTTCTCTTAAAACAACAAACTTTTTTAATTAATCATGCTTACTGATATATCGACTTATTGTAAGCTATAGCATCTTTTTTCACCTCAAATAGCTCAGTGACAAATACTAATAGGCTAGGCATATTAGGAATATAAATGACAGTTAGCGGAAAGTTTAGGTACAGTCCTAATAATCACTTTTCTTTATGTTTTTTTGGGTCGCTGAACACGATTATGAGGTTTGCTGACAGATATTTTGCCCGGAACATTGGTTATTTTGTGAAAACCCTTAAAATTTGGGCACTTTTTTTGGTTTTTCGGGCAAATCTCGGTAAGTATGGGTTTTTAAGAAAATCCCGCTTTGTAAAATTAAAGATGACAAAATTTACTACAAGTTTCCTATATAATGTTTGTTTCTACGACGAACCGTTTCGCCACTAGAGCACACTAAAAAAGGCCAGAAGTACAACAAAATTAAAAACTATGCTAAATGCTGCCGTTTTACATTACGTTTCCATGGAAACAACCCATGTTACGATAATTTTAACTATTTATTCATGCTAACAAACTAAAACACACTTAAAAATACCCCCACCGCAGCAAACCTGCAGACTAAGCGAATTTCCATTTCCCTGATTGGATTTACACTAAAATGTCTCCTTAGAAATATCACATTTATTCCCTATTTCAATAAAAGTTTAACGAATACTTAGGTTTGCTGCAACAGGGAGGGTAAAAGGTGTTTTTTGTAAAATGTAATATTTAGTATATTTAAATTATGATCAGGGTTTTATCGTTTTATGCAAAATTGAGTTGATGCCTTGGCAGACACAGTTCTGCATTTTGTTTGAAAAAATAAGATCATACCAGTATTCACAATCATTTATTCATTCAACGCAGTGATAAACAATAATGTCAAATGATAAAACAAATTTTGCATCGCTAATTTAAATAAGGATCAAAGTGTTATGCAAGCTCAAATTAGCTTTTTTAACAATTTCCTTTCTTGCAGTTTCTAGAAAATTGTGCAACTAGTTAAATAACACTGAATGTTGATGAAGCAATTAATTTCAACTTGTTTGAATGTGTGCATTGGATCGTAAAAGTGACCCTTCAGGCTTGTAATCCTTGACAGTAATGTATTCAGAGGATCTAGCTTCTGACACTAATGAAAATAATTAATCTACCATCAATATGTGCAAAAAAACTTGAAGGGAATTTATTTCTTTCCAGTGGACACCAAAATAATCTGGTTTTTATACATGAGAGAAATGTTTATGCACGATCCGCAGGCGAGAGTGGAAAGTTTCTCGAGTGCAGCAAAAGGCACTTTGCGCTCGTGTTACACATTATATTTTTCCCACAGTTACCATAAAGCATAGAAACAATTAGTCTTTCAAACACTATACAGCACGTATTTAGGTTAGGTAAAATCCAAGGGTTGAACAAAATGAGAAACACTGCACCAGCTGATTGTAATAGTAGTGTCTTTAAGTGTTGCTAACTTATTTTCAAGCGTACACATATTACGTGTCTAGTAAAAGCACACTGTTTTGTGTTGTTTGGTTGAAATACTGGAGTGCGGTAAAAAATAAGAGTGCGGCAAAAGAAAATAAGTACAGCAAAAGTAAGTAAGTGCAGCAATTATTACTTTGCGTGCTACAATCAATGCAAGGAAGCCCACTTTGTCAGGTAACTGTAGGAAAAATAATTACAAACTGGGCAATCAGCCTTGCACAGTAGGATGATCTTTAACCACAAAACCTTGACATTGGAACGGAAAACACCTGGATGTCTTGAATCGTTATATAAATTGATGCCTAGGCTGTTATCTTACATAACTATACAGTTGCCAACCACAATTCTGAAGCTCGTCTAAGTGTGTAATATGAAAAAAAACCAGAACTGAAATTGGCACATTATAGTACTACTGAAATTATTGTTTGGTTTTTGGTCAGTCATTCTGGTAATGTTGGTATAGTGTAATGTAACACATGTAGTCTTTCAGTTTGGGTTTTCATCAACTTTAAGATGAACTGAGGGTTTACTTTAAATCTCAAAGGCATTTGAAAGGTTTCAGACAAGTTATTGTACTCATGGATTTGTACATTGACTAAGCAATACAGTACTGGTGAAGAGCTTTTTATGTATCTAATTATTTTCCCTTGAGAAATGAGTCATTCAAACATGAAAGGATTTACTACTTCGTCTATTCCTTACTTGGTGTCATCAGTGCTTACCTAAGAGCGGCGCTGACAACTCCAGACACGAAAAGTCCCGTTAAGCCAGGGACATCTCTCGCTACATCCATGACATAGTATGGCAACAGCTGTCCAGATTTTCGGATCATCTAGAGAACAAAGCAAACATTTAATCTAAAGTCAAATGTATAGACAAATTGATTGTTTTTGAAAGTATCTTCGAGTGTTTAAAACCTCACCTTAGTGGCAACTGGATCGCAATCATGATACTTGGCGAATATCAGCAGACCAATGTAAGAAGTGATGCTGATGACTCCGATGATGCAAACACAGCTGATGATCATGACACTGAAAATAAATTTCTTGGTCAGTAAACGAATGAAACTATGTGATTATTTTAGTGTAAAGAAGTTTTTGGTTAGGTTATAGTGTTATTGTGAAGTTGGATTCATCTATATAAATTAACTACCATGTTAGTTTGAGTAAGGGAAAATAACTGTTATGTTATTTCATAACATAGGCTTACTTTAACACTTTTTAATACTTTTAATTGAAATAGCGACCATACGAAGGTAAGAAGTTTAAGCCAACTATGAATGGAGATAAGTGTAGGATGAGTGGTGATCTTGTAGTCATGTTAGTGACTAAGGTCGACATATTACTTAGACAGGACTGTTAATTAATAGCCCATACAGCCAACTGCAATTAAGGGGACCTACAGTTTATAGTGGAATCCAAACCGCATTTTAAAATTGTAATTAATGAAAAAACATCCCAGAATAACACATCTTGTTCATAACTGCAAAGAATACTGTGTCACATTTCGCTATGTGGTTTATCATTAATCATGATAAATGGTGTGAGTTTTAACTACAAAAGAATCACTCAAGACACAGAGATTTTGTCTGTGATTACACTAGATTATGGAGTGTTGAACATTCTTTTACAATTAATAAAATAAACTCCAATATAAGAAAACCAACAACTCCCATCAGTTTTTACAATATCTAACAAAAAACCACTAAGTGGTAACACTTCCCCCGCCAAGTCAGCAACCCAAAAAAGACAATAAATCGCCACTTTTCCGCCAAGTAAAACAATGTAATATATGTAAGTTTGGCAACTTGGCGGCAGACTTTTGCTTGTTTTTTTTTCATTAAAGTTACGTTGGTGGATAATTTCACAAATCAACTTCTCTAATTAATTAGTCCAACTAAGTATAATAATTTCGAGGTAATCAGTAAATATAAAACCATCACTATTATGATTTTATGAAATGTGACACAAATAAGGTCAAATTTTGTAAAATAAGCTCTCATCTAGCAATGTACTATTGGGAGAGATACTTGCTCAATGAAACTAATTTTATGGTATTTTTTAAAGTGATCAAGCAAAAGTCTGCCGCCAAGTGGCCAAACTTACATACATTACATTGTTTTACTTGGCGGAAAAGTGGCGATTTATTGTCTTTTTTGGGTTGCTGACTTGGCGGGGGAAGTGTTACCACTTAGTGGTTTTTTGTTAGATTGTATTTATTTTTGTAGAAAATTAACAGTTAAAATAAAAATCCTCTTTTCTCTTATATATAGACCAGGGAACAACTACACATAAAATGCATTGGTGTTACATAAGTGTTCCGATAATTAAACCCGTATATCTAAAGACTAGTGTAAATTGAGCCCTTATTAGAGAAGTAAAAATGTAATCAAACAGATTAGGTTTGTTAGAGATAGCATAAGGCAAAACAAATATTGAAAAACTCATTTTTATCCTAAATTTACATATCACTTTTTACATTCACTTTTTTGCTTGTTTAACATACGTAGACGGATTTTCCCGATTGTTTTATTTGTTTTAGTGTATCAAAACATAAAACTAACCTTATTTAGTTAAATAAATTTTGGCAATATTATGAAGAAACAATGTTAAAACTAACCTTAGTACTAGTACTAAGTTTCAAGTTCCTAGGTTTCATATGTTTTGATAAGTAGTATTAAACTGTTAAAAATGACGAGCTGCTGTACCAGTGTACCATCGGTACACTGCATTTTTCAATGGAAAGTATCGGGGAATATCACTGCTCTAAGTAATTTTATATAGTAAGTAGCTCAAATCATTCGGTATACCTGAAAAAAATACTTTATAAAAGTTTTAAAATATTTTTTCAGCTGATCCTATGAATTTCTCTAACATTTTAAATTAATTGAGATTTAATCGCAGCTGATCCTTCTTTTGTTTTGATTTTAATCCCATGTTATTTAAATGGGCCAAAATCGTACTTTGAGGGCTTGCCAAGGGTTTATGGGTCAACGCACCGACTTGTGACCCTCAAAAGGCACATCTACACGCTAAGGGCTTTCAAACAACATAAAAAACATTAAAATTGAGCCAGTGGTTTGGGCTGTAGGTCCGTCAACATTTAAGGAGAAGAAGGAGAACACGGAAAATTTGTGAATTTTCAAACTAGTTTTTCTTGGCTCAAACACAACCTTTTTTTAAATTCTTTTTTTTATTTTGCCAAGAATGATTGCCCCTATCCAGTGGATGAACAATTATTTTAATAGCTTTTGTTTCTTCAGAGCTATAGACGAGTAAAAAAGCCACTTTGTCACGTCATGTATATATACACTGCAGCAGCTGTGTACCGCTGGGGGACTTGGCGGGAGACATGACAAAATTATTAGAAGAACTAAATGGTATTGTTTTCAGTTTTGTAAACAGTTTAATTTATAAAGCAATTTGGAACTAATCTTCACTAATTAATCACATAATGGCAAACAACTCACATTTTGGCACCTCTCATGGATGGAACACAGATAAACTTCTGCACTGAGCCTGGGTGCACTGCAAAGTTGGAGAGCCAGAAGAACTGAGTTCCGATGATAACTGTCCAGAATGTGTTTCTTGCAAATGGATCAGTATCAAAACTGCAAAAGCAATCAGTTAGTAAACACTTGTTGTTTGGTAAAAAAACAAGGAAAGTCCTCTCTAAAAGGATAGAAACTACGTACCACCACTACTTGTATGGCAATGTAACCTAGGATATTGTGCTTGAGATGGAGTTTTAGACTGGTGGACACATCAATCTGTTGTGATACTATCCATTCAGTATTTTCACATTCATAGAAGACTCGAGTATCAAATAAAAGGCCAAGAGACAAAAATAGGTAGACCACATAATGCATACATGTTATCAGACCTTAAATGAGTAGACTACATGGAATTGGTCAGAAAAATAAAGTTTTTTTTTTAATAACTCTTTTTATTGAAGAAAATTCAAAAATTTATCAACTTGGAGAATATTTTGGTGATAACCAGGAAACTAATTTCCACATGATTCCATAGAGAAGCTTTACATTATTATGAGAATGTGGTCGATCTAAAAATTGGTAGTGCTATTTACTAGATGTTCTAAGGAGACTTCAACTGCATCCAAACTATTTTGTCTAACTAAGCCGAACTGAGCAAAGAAAAAGAGAGAACAAAATCATGTGGCATTATATCATCTTCTCAGCTAGTAATTGAATGAATGCATTCAGCAAACACGTTACGTGTAGTTACATTACGTGTAGGAATGTAAATGACGAATGATTAACTTTGATTTATGCAATGCCTTCAGGACTCTGTCACTACAGTACTAATTTTATGCTTATGAGAGGAATCACAAGAAAATGTACTATGATTAAATTTCTACTCGGCAAAAACCTAGACTGAATATTACTTTTCACAAAGAGTGAATATTCGTCTAATATGCCAAAGTACTGGTTTCAACTGTACATTAAAAATAAAACTACTCAGAGTAATAGCTTTTAATCATGGTTTTATTGCATTCAATATACTTTTTAAACGTCCTTAACCATTTTGCCTTTTATTCCCCAAACTTTATCAGCTTTGAACTTACTTCAACAATTCCAGCCGATGACCTTCCTTGGCTATCCGAAACACTTCTGAGAATCCTCCAATTTGTGAAGTTCCCAAAATTAAGATGGAGGTGATTGACACAGCAATGAAAATACTTTGGAGAGCATCAGTCCAAACTACTGCCTTGAGTCCCCCCTGCAGAATAAAATTTGAATGAGAATGGAGTGAGCCCTACATAGGTATAATTGAGAAACAATTTTCAGGAAAACTTTAGTGTTATGCCAGTTTGAAGAGTTTTGCTTTAACTTGGAAGTAGGCGTAACCAATTATTGACTATTGTCTGTTGACTAGTTGATTGGTTATTTTTCAACTACCGGTACTCAATTCATGTGTACAATAGTGGATCAATATAACGTACAACTCGTACAATAAGGGTTATGGTTTTATAAAGACGGACTCAAAACTGGTTTGTTTGACTCATTTTCTTTGCAAAAACTTCATAAACCATCACGAAGGAAACCAACAAGTTCAATGTAACCTTTCCTTGATGCAAACTTGTGTGGTAAATAATGGACAGGACAAGCAATTTGGCGTGATTCCAAAATTACAACTTTGACCTAATTTCCACTTGAGATTAAAGAGTGACCGCCATCAGAAGGTAATTTGACTTGTAACTAATTGTGTATTGCAATAAAAGATGTTTTGCATTCAAATAATAACTCATATTTTAATTATAATCATATCAATTAATTAATCTATGTCATGATAAGTTTGTTGATTACCTACACACAAAGTTTTAAATGGCATGAATAAAATTGCATTTCTACTGCACTTTACATATCATGATCAAGCCAAATGATTGTTGTATAACCATTACCACAGTCTTGCATTCAAATTGCATTACTTTATCTGTTGGGTTCTTATATGTTTTCAAAGTAGGTAACAAAACAAAGTAATAGAATACAAGACAGTCATGAAATCTTGTTTGTATCAGAGCAGAGCGTAACTTACCAGAGTTGTGTAGAATATGCAAACGAGGCAGATGATTGGAGCGATTACATGTACTGAAGCCCCCGTAACTGAAAACAAACAAACAGTTTACATAACTTCTGGGGAATTAAGATGAATCTTGTTGGTGTAAAGCTACCTCCAATAAATCTACTCCTTCCAGGTATAGATTTAATTGGATAAGATACATACCTATTCATCTTGTATTATGAAACTATAAACATTGAAACCTACATTTTTTATATATTTTTCCTTATCAAAGTTATAGGTTATAACTTAATTAACCTAACAACTATATTACTATAACTAGGTATAACTAGGTTAACTTAGGTTATAACTTATAGGTTTAGGTCACAAGATTATGTTTAATGAAGCAACTAACTAAATAATCAGATGATCTTACCTTGATTAAAGGCCAGCGCTGGGACATAGATCACTATTGGGATGTAGACAATCTGTAACAGAAAGTAAAATGGTCAAAAAAGATAACAAAAATGTGTTTTAAAAAAATAGAAATGTTGCAAAAAGAAAAAACTTCAAATTTAGAAGACACCAGAGTTACCTTGAAAGGCTTGAACAAATTTATGAGTAATAAAAAATACTGTAAAATATTCACAAACCTGTTCTATAAAGTCGCAAGATTGCTACCTTTTTGCAAAACGGTTTACTACTTCAAGAGTTTAAGCAATTCATCAGTTTAATTTATTTCATCATAGCTTTCTCTAATGACGATAAATCATAGCTCAAATGAAATAAGTATATAAGACACGGTTTGAAATTGGTATAGTTTTCGGAAAAAGGATGCTTTCTATACATTTATTACAAATTTTACCCTGACAAGTGACAATGCAAACTAGTTTGTTAATTTTTATATTAATAATAATATGATATTGCTGTAGGTACTCACCAATGAAACAGCAAATATGAATGACCCCATACTCCGAACTTTTGAATTGAACCTCATTTCCAAATACTGTAAAAATACACAAATCGTTAGTGGATTTAAATTAATAACAATGCATCTAAAAGACCAAATATATTCTTTTGGGGGGTTTCAAGTTATCAAACGATAGTTAGACAAAACTTTTTTACATCATAGCATAAAGTTGAAACCACCAATTAAAGCATACAGTTTAAAATAACTTATTGCATACTAAGAAACAAACAACACTATAAAGAATTGTTGGTAAATTTTATGTGATTTTGACACTTTAGTTCCTCCAAGGACTTTGTCAACATAATTAGGTTTAAGTGGATCAAACTGAGACCCCCATTCTCAACTTCAAAATATATTTACCTGGAAAGCAGAGTTGAGCTGTAGGGGATAGAAGACAGGGATGTAGCAGAAGATGACCAAGAAGGAGACGACCACCATGCTGACTATGATGAGGTAGTACTGTGTCCCATAGAGGTAGATCTCTGCTGGAACTCCCAGGAGGGTTATCCCAGACACATGGCTGCAAAAAAATGTCAACATCAATCAGGAGAAATATAACAGAAAGACTAACTCATTGTTTGTTCAAAACGTCAAAAAAAATCCACTCCTTACTCTGATTATCATAAGGAATAAAGGGAAAGATTTAAAGATCCAAACTTTGCTGTTGATAACTTGTCTCCGAGGACCATGAAACATACTAACTAAGGACTCTAGCAGAAGCTTTAATCATATAAAAAAATTATTTTCAATAGCAATATATTCAATAAAACTATTTTATTGATGACAGTGCTCTTCAAATTCTACTGTGCACATTAAACCTAGGTAAAATATAAAAAAAATACTTTCAAATGACGCTTGGATTTTAATTTTTGAGCACATTTTATTTCTGAGATACCTATGGAAGACTGATAACAAAACCTATCCGTTTTGGGAAAACGTTTTGTATTTCTATTGATCAAATTCCACGTTACACATCCCAGTTAACTTGAGAATCTTAAAAGACCTAAACAGTTTCCTGTATTATTTCATGTCCTTCAGTTTTTTAAGGTAAAAAATAGATACTGTAATTAATGTAAATAACTATGTCTATCTTAAAGATTTTAAGGATTAATAATTCCAATTTATTATAAATTCAACTGTTATTTAACCTCACCTGGCAACATTTGACAGCGCCACAGGCAGAATCCCCATCTTCTTGCCGCCCAAAAGGTATTCAGAGACGGTGTTCTGAGCGCTGCAGCAGCCGAAGTAGATTCCGATCATGGCAGACATGCTCAGTAGAGCTCCGAAGATCAGGTACTCTATCAGGCCAAACTGAAGCTGAGCCGCCATTATTGACACAACGGTCGTCGTATTAGCCTCCATCTAGGACAAGAAGTAAGAATATGTCAGATAGATTTATGAGATTATAATGAATTTTAAGTTTCAAATTTTACGAGGGAAATAAGGGAAATACTAGTAATACTTGGAGGGGTAGAAAATAAACAATCATTGGTTTAAATAATTTGGTTAAATTTGGATCTTTAGGGTGGAAAACGTTTGATGTTTTGTGTAGGAAAGGCTTACACCACAAAGAATTACTTATGACATTTTATATAACAAACGAACATGAAAGAGGCTGCTGATCGGGTCTAACAACTTCCAGGAGATAAATCATAATTGGATATAATCAATTGATAGCTTAGGTTGTTTGTAGGGTCAACATCTTTTAACTGGCAGCAGTCAAACAAAAATATCCTACTGTGATAAAAGTTGGAAAAACATACAGTACTTGTTTCTAAATGCTGCAAACCTGTTTGATAACTTCGCAAAAACATCTTCAGTACGTAGGTGATTAAATATCACATACATTCTTGATTATCAGTCGTGTTGTTAAGCGATAGTTGGGTAAAACTCATGTTTGATCGTGACTTGATAAATGACGCATAAAAGTAAATGAAGCTTAATGTACAGTTTGCGAAACCGGCTAGCAAATCATCTACGTCGTGTTAATCAGCTGTGTGGCGTCGCCGAAGGCTTGAACCTGATAGTCCATAATTACCGACCTGATCTGCAACTTCAATAACAAACAAGCCCTCGCCTGGTTAGGATTCTATTAACCAGGCCGTTTAATATTCAGCGCAAAATGTGGTCGGTAAATTATCGCTTTTAAGTAAATATGACTCAAGAACTTTTGTGAGGTTAGTGGCCTCCGTTAACCTGGCTTTTCCATGTCTTTATTTGTGTTGTTGGATAAGACGTTTAGTTAATTAAGCCAAGGAGTATTGGCTGGAGTGAAATTTAATTTGGGTAAGATTAATCCAATTCGCTCACTTTCAATTACTTATTGTCTTGTTTATTTGGCAAATCTTCTTAACCTACTACATAACGTTACGGGTGTGGTCCCCGTTCGTGATTGCCTTTCAATTACGCCTTCTTCTATTAATTGGAGAGTATATTCTAAAATGATACATTTGCTAACTGAAGTAATCCAAATGATACGTTCAACATCCTTCCTCCACTGGATTATAGAGTATACTTTTCGAAATTCCAAATATGTTTTTTTTTTCACGGCCCCTAAGTATACATTTCCCACGTGGGACTAAATATCAGTACCTCTTTTATATGGTTTTTTGGCCTATCCAAGTATAATCACACCCAGTCTAAATTACCCACACAGGACCAAAAATACCCTAGCGAACGTGATCAGTTATCACGGGCATTCCAAACTTTTCCACGTCCACTTGGCTGAACCACGGAGAATATTGGTGGGAAACTACAGGTAAAGGAAACTAGAAGGAATGCAGAATTGGCGGTAAGTCGTACAGAAACCAGTGGGAAGTCCGGCGGAGATTCCAGAGGAAGAAATAAATTAAACAAATCTCAGTGACCGGCGCGACGCAGCCTCGGACAACTTTACTATTAGTAGCCCGAGCCACTTTGTGCGAAAAACCTGTTCGGATTCGTAACTTTCTATAATTATTTGCCTGCCTCGAAGTGGTTTTCCATTACAGGTGTAACAGGTAAAAAGCGGGGAGAATCGGGCAGACCACGTCAGTTAATCGTGTTTCATTATTTTAATCAAAAGTTGATTGGACTTCCATTAGCATGTGACGTTCGAACGTAAAAAAAACGAAAGTTAAAAAAGTAAAATTTAAATTCACACTCCAACATTTTACTGCCAAATTTAAAACTTGTCTATCCCTTGATGGAACTAATGTATCTGCACTTGTTAAAGAACAACATAAACCCTAAGATGTTTTAGGTAAAACCATGCTATAAAAATTTTAAATGTATAATTCAGAAAAAAATAATCAAGTCTAAACTAGGTACTCATTTAGTTAAAGAAATATAGATAAGTTTTGTATGCTCTACATTAAACTTACTGATAAATTTTATCTCCAATTAGTTTTATGAGATTAGTAATACAGTTTGTGGAATCTGTTTAACTACTGCATTATTTTACCATAAAATTTATTTGTTTTTGACAAAGACACGTTGGCACGTTTGTAGTTGTTCGGAAGTGAAACAAATCACGTATCATATTCATAACATCATAACAATCAGGTCATAGACCGTTAAAATGCCCGGTTTATTGTCATTACGTAATGGTTGTAAAGAATCGACCGAAAAGAATCAAACTGCTGGACAACTTCAGCTAATTATCAAGATAGGTCAACTAAGTTATCTGGAAGATGCATAACGCTGCGAGTTATGTAAAATATGTTTTTATCTATTCCGGACAGTGAACCGGGCCAGTTTTTAAGAGTAAAAACTTTGCAAAATGGCGAGAAGGTATTCTGATATTTTATAGTTTTCTTGTTTTAATGCTTCAATTGACGTTTTGTGTCGACTTTAGTGTACTTTCATTACTAGTGATTGGAACTGATTGATAAAATCAAAGTCAAATTGAATTTAAACATAATTAAATCTAAGGCTTACCTTACGATCCAATTTTTTTTCTTTTTTTTTTTAACGATCCAGAGGCTATATCTCCAAATGAATTTAAACATTCAAACGAACTAAATTACGTAAAAAGAGGAATTTCTCTCCGAGCAAAGAATTATACGCGAACCTGTAACCAAAACAAACAAGAACTGTACACATTTTACCGATGGATTTTGGTATTTTGTACGATTATGAATATATTATGATGCACCGCCTAACAAGATTGAACCTATGATTGAACCTTGTTAAAACTTCTGAATTTGGCACTGTGTTAACTACAAAATACTTTATCTCAAAACCAATACTCACATAGTTTTAATGTTAATTCTGAAATATGTATGGTAATGTTACGTTGGAGGGTGTTAATTTTATTTTCTATATTTTACTTTAATTGATTGGTTAGCCGAGTTGTTGTAGTGGCCGTCTTCAAATCTGGAGATTCATTGTTCCCAAATGGATTTTATATGCAGATATCGTTTGTATTTGGACTATCAAATCAATGATGCTATCTTAAAAAAAAGATCGACGAGCAAGATCAGGGTATGGATAGTCACAAAACCGTGTAAAAATACCACTGGCGTTGAAACAATTGTACACAAAAATGTTTCGGTAATGTGTTATTGTTATTAATACAGCATTGATTATCTTAATCTCACATTAAATCTTACTTCAGTTTCTTTCGGAAAATTCTATTGTGTACAAACATTACAAAAATATTGTACACATCCCTGAAACAAACCTTGATTTATTTTCGGCCGTGTTTTTATTTTCCCTTCATCGTTATCAAAACCATAATTAATAAGAGTCAAGAGCGCAGATAGCGGCCATGCCATTCTGTTGAATCATTTGTAACATTGACCGTATTCATTGAGTGATTACAACTAAGAAGGCCAACCAGGTTCATGATCTGTGTTTATACTTCTACAAGTTTATATTTATCCGTGTTTATAAATATAAATACAGTTACAATATAACAAAATAACACTTGAGGACATTTGGATCAATATAAAATCAACACGTTTGTGAGAATTAGGCCGAGCTTATCAAAAACAAATATTTCAATGCCAAATGATCAACCTTCATTTCAATGTAATTTTTATCTTTGCCAAATGATATTGTTTTGTTGTAAAATGAGTTTTAATTAAATGGCAGAAGTATTAAGCATGTTTAGTGTAATATAAAACTGGGTATGAAATAGTTATGTAGTCATATAAAGATTAAAAGAATAACAAACACAAACAACTACTTAAAACAAGAGAGGCTTATTGCAGTTTTGGTAAAAATATTTCAATACAGTTATATAAAATGAATGTATTTTTTGATTCTTTCACAGACGAAATAGTATTTTAAATTACTGGTAATAATTATATTGTCCTATAGTAAAAACAAAAGTAATATTAAAATATTTGTATTGTTTTTATTTTGAATCGTACTACGAAAACAGAGCTTTGGTTTATTCTGTTGGTTAAAAATTAAGTTTGTTTAAGCATTCCTACAAAATTATGATAAACATTAAGGAATACGCATTATTATATTTTGGAAAATACTACCACAGACATTCATATCAAATATAAGTTTAAACATTATCACAAGTATTGCAAGTATTTGAGAATGTATTAAATAACCTTTTCTCCTTTTGAGAAGCATAATATTACAAATATATCAAATAAGTTTCTAAATAACTTCACAGTCTACCCTTAAGAGCTATTAAATGAAACTATATAGAAAACATTCATCCAATTTTCCTTGATCAAACTAATAAATGTGACAATTAAATTTTGAGGTGATTAGTTAAGTTGTATTAGGTAGTTAATTAATTTAATCAGAGCCCTTTTTAGTGTTGTTAACATAAAAATGTGTCCTTTATACATTAAAATGTAGAAAGAGTTCTATTGTATTGAAATGTGCTATGTGTAGCATTGTAAAATGCTGATTAAAAAGTTACAATATACATTTGAAAATGTATTTTATTCAATGCATTGCTACAAATAAATTACGACAATTTCAAAAAGAAAAAAGGCACAACAAATTATAAAAGCAGTCAAAACACATTCAAAAGTCAAATTGGTTATATTTTTATTCGTTATTATTACATTAAATTGCATTATTCTACAATTAATTGTTAACCTATTTTACTATGAAACCAAATACTTTAACCTATGAAAGATTTGAACCACTTACTTTGAGCTCACTTCCAGGAGGACGATGCACTAACACTGTGACTGGGGACTGCGCCCCGGTGGTTATATGTGGCTGACCGGCCACTTTGACGTCATCCGCGGTGCCAGGGGGTTTCCACCGGCCTGAAGACAGACAGCTGACCGGTGTGCGGCATTGTTGATCAGCTGGTACCACATCAGCTGATCAAGTGACAGTTGTCTGCTCGCGCGGAGATTGTGTGAATGAGTAAAATGAGGTTTTGTGTGATAAGTTGAACTGTTCTAAAATGTTTGTTATTTTTTAAGTTAAAGATTATTGTTGAGCATTTTTTGTAGAGCAAATAAACATTTTTGAAGGTTTAAGTTTTATGGATGAATAAAAATAAAACAGCACTTCAAAAATATAAAATTTTGTTTTAGTTTCTCCAATGAACTTGAATATTTGAGTACCGTACAAGTAGATTTTTATCATATTTAATAATATGAAACTTGTTTTTGTGCATTTCATGTTTGTGACATTTGAACGCTAGTCAACTAAATGTTAGTTTTCATACTTAAGGGAAGATTTTATGATTGGTTTTTTTCTTTAGTTGTTTAGTTATTTAGTTTGTGAGTTGTTTCTTTAGTTTTATTTCTAACAAATATACAGTTTTTTGCTTAATCATTTAATCGAAATTGGTAACGTTCAGGGTTTAAGAAGAAACAAATAGAAAACAATAAAACTTTCTCTATATAACAACACCTCTATATAACGGAATCGACACAAAAACATATATTCAGCTGATCGATAGGATTATTTAGAGTAGGCTGATTTCGAACTTTTTAAAGAACCGAATCTGAACGGCGTAAAACTAAAACTACCTTAAACTTAGCAATGATACGGAGTGTTTAAAGACGTTCAAAATGTTTTTATGTTGGCCTCCGGATTACTTTGGTTAAATATATGAATTTGTGTAAATACTGGCTTCGTAGGAATCCAAATTGATAAGTAATACTTATCAATTTATATACATCCGCGGGACTCTACATCCATCCGGTTGCCAGCGAATTACTCACATACCATTGTTGCAATTTTTTATTCGTTTGTCACTCGATATAAATGTAGGCCTACCTTTTCATCGTTTAAATGTCCATGTTGGTGTTCTTGTGTCTTTGTAGAAGTGAATCGACAACCTTCTGATGAATTGATCATGACTTCCTTTGACGCCTGAAGATGACTTCCTGAAGGTGAAGCCATAGATTAAATGAGTACCTAAGCAAAGGTTCCGTGCGGTCTACTCCTTTTTAATCTATGGCGAAACTAGTTGCGGCATTAGTAGCAATTTGGATTAATACGAAGCAGGTATTTACATAAATTTATTTAGTTTGGCACCTACAAACTCTTTTTAGATCTAGTTTAATGATATTTGGATGTTATTGTAAACATTGGCTTGGATATTCCTAGTTTGAATACAATGATTTAATTCAACGCTAACATACGAGTACTGAAATAAAAAGAATTTAAAAGTTCAAAAGTCTAAGTTGTTCCTAATCATGTTATTTTTTCTATACTAATGTCATATTCTATCTTTTAAGAACTGCAATTAATTAGTGAAAATGAACTGTCTGACTACACGTTCAACTACGCACGTGAACAAGATTTTCCTGATTTTGGACCTACCTTCACTTAGATTTCCAGGAGTTACTCCTACATCGATGAGGAACTGGTTTAAAAGAGCCTACTGCTTACGGGTTAGCTACGAGACACCTACTGCTGTTTGTGGATTGGTTAAAATGCTGTTTCTGCGTATGATCGCACCCCAAGACCTTGCGCCATTCGTATTGGGCGAAAAGCATTTCTCTATAAGCTGATGGGCAGTTTGCAAAGGTGGATGACGAGACTTAATAAGATTTTTTATGTGAGAGGTCCAGTGGGTAAGTTGGAGACAGATTTTTCTGTAATCCCTCACTAATGCATCATCGCGACATATCCTAGAATATGGTACATTACTTAAAACTGGAACGCTGGAAGCCAAGGAAGAGGAGTAGGCCTAGTACTTACTGTCAAATCTTCGTCTTCGTCATACGACCGCGTCGTTGAATATGTGAAGATTGTAACCTACATTTCGGATGCGTTGTAGCAATTCATAATAGGGGCATACTACAATTTAACTCATTGAGTCATTAAGTTGATGCAGTATCGCAATCTACTTTGACTATGGAATTCTACCTTAGAGATTAAGTGCTTCCTACGGCTCACATTACCCTGTCGAAATCCAAACCCTCACAAGAGTACACATACGTACTAAGAAACTAACGTTTGTACGTATTGTGTACGTACTATCACAATATGTGTACTAAGAAGTACGCATATTTTTCAGCCTGAGTAGTATTCAGATGCCGAGAAGACTTAGAAACACGGGTGATGTACCAAAAATTAAATACAATATTAACCCCTTTTCATGCCTTTTACGGATTTTTCCAAAATCACTGTAAAAATACAGTTTTTTTGTTGTGTTTTTTTTTTTTATCAGCCCAGTTAATGAATACAATAAAACAGCCTTTTCGCAACTAAATGGTGGAAAGCTGGATTTTGTATATGTGATATAATCTTATGGGAGGTGTATTTTCCCAAAAATCCCCACTCTCACCCCTTGAGCTTTCCCCCCACCCCCTCCAAACCTAGAAATTGCAGTGTTATACTAAATTGACCATAAGTTGAATACTATGTAAGCTATCGTGTTGAAATTTTTCTTGTTTTATTTCTGATTCGTTTTCCTACAACAGGCCTACTTATAGTTTTTTCTATAACCATTACTTAGGGAGATATAAAACTAAAACTTCGTTAAAAGATTTGTTTCAGAGTACACAATTTTGTTTTTCTCTACATTTGTTTTAAATAAATATCTAAAATTGCTGTATTATCAAACCATTAATATTTTATACCGTGTGCCTTACAATTAAGTATCTGTAAAATAAAAAGTCATATTGAATTAAATTTTCTATTATACACCATAAATATGTTCTGTAAAGCACCGAGTTCACGTTCACATAATATCCCTGTTTTAATCACATTTCATCCAGACTCTACTTCGACTCCCTTATTAATTGTGGAGGAATTACTCTATATAGACTAATTTTAGAAAATACCTAGTTCCCAACTTTCACGGGTTTCCCATTTAAACCCATTCTATGAAGTTGACGGTCCTAAACCGGCGCTACACGTTAGTGATAATGACTTGAAACAATGTTCAAGTCGAGCGGGAAGCCCGATTGACACGTTTTCTCGTCTTAGTGTGAGTGCGTAAGCGTATGAGTTTGTGTATGTGTGTGTATGTGAGTATGTATGAAGCAACCATTGTTACAATCACCTACAATTACACACTATCCACTAAAGTAGACAATGGTTTATAACTTACCAACGGGGAACTGTTAACGGTACGATCATCAGGAAAGTCGGTCGCCTACGCTAGAACAAACACTCTGATATCACTCGGGCACATACTGTTATCAGCTGGCTTTGAAATGCAACATATGCACCCGTGCCTAACATACACACGCCCTTAAAGATATCTGGCTTTAAAACTTTTAAATGAAATTTTAAATTTTAAGTAAGTTGCCAATTTACAAAACAACATACAGTACGAGGGATTAAATTAATGCAATAAAGTTTAGGTAAAATACTGTATGTTGCAAAAACATAAGGGGATGCAACTAACGGGCCAAAATGTATATAATCTTGTATATAATAAGTGAGGCTTTTATATTAAAAGAGCCATAATAGAGCTCTTTCTCGCTGTTTGTCAATTAGCTGTTCTTGTGGAAGTTATATTGAAAATCAGTCAATTGTTCAGATTTATTCAAAGGGTTAATAGATAAAACATAATTAAACGTACGTTATTGTTTACACATTTTAATTGAGAAGGGGGCATTTTAAAGACTGAAAAAAACTCACAAGTAAAGCTATTCCCAACTGTAGTATTTTAAAAACGAAAAGATTAATAAAAAAAAATGATTCTCAAATAGGTGGGTAATGTTCATGATACTACCACAACTATAAGAACAAAAACAAATGTTGTCACTGGCCTGAAAGGAAACATGATTTTTATCAATATTTATATGGAACTGTCAAACCAGCCGTTACAGCCATTTGTATAGACATTCAGGCCAGTGACGTTATTTATTTATGTTTATTATGAGAAATGCGATAAACAATGAGTCTGGATCAGGTCAAATTAGGTATGTTTCTGTCCAAATATGTACTGGGCGTATTTAAATTAAATATTCTATGTGTTGTTGTTTCACAACGTTTAAAATTGTTAACGTGGGTATAATCATTGACTATATATACCTACAGGTATATATAGTCTATATATACCTATATATATATAGTCTATATATACCTATATATATAGACTATACATAGATATTGACTATATATATACCTATAGGTATATATAGTCAATGGTATAATCAAAAGAAATACGTTTATTGTAAATGCTAGTATGCAGCGGACGGAAGATGATTCGTCACTCTTGACATGAATAATAGATGTTCCGCCGCGCATGTGGTGCGGCTGGAACTGCAGTCGTTGGACGACAGCCGTTGATCGATAATCGTAGAGCGACTGCTGAGCATTGTTTTCAATGGCGCCCACTGACGCGACTGGCGCCACAGTCGTAGACGGCTATCGTACGGGTCTGCTCCTGGAGCAGACATAGTCGCAGTCGTTGCACGATTTTTGAGGCTTTCGCAGCGTTTTCTCAAGAAAGTGCGCGTGTCTTTTTGTCGAGTGTCATCCAAGACTACAATGAAAGTGTTTACGCTCGAGGAAGACGAGAAACTAGTTGAGGCGATTTCTCCCCACCCTGAAATTTACAACCTGAGACACCCTCTTTACAAGGACCAACGAGCGAGAAACAACGTTTGGGAAGCAATATCAGAGGAAGTCGGAAGATCAAGTAAGTTTATTTATCTTAAAGAAAATGTCATATAACATTTATGCACTTTTTCGTTCCATGATTCGTCTGATAGTGGTGCTGTGTTTTATCTACTAAACCTAATTCAGTTTCAATAGGGCCTACCTTTTAGCGAATTTCCCTACAGCAAGTAGCTATTACCGTAGGTGGCACGGTAAGACCTATAGGCCCGGGACCGATTTACTTTTTCAAGTTGATGTCATATAACATAACATATTTTGATCGAATTTGGAAAATACATTCATTTCTTACAGTCATTTCTATTGACATTAAAAAAAACTCACCTTTTTACCCTCCCTGTTGCAGCAAACCTAAGTACTCGTTAAACTAATTCTATTTAAATTGGAAATAAATATGATATTTTTAAGGAGGCATTTAAGTGTAGGCCTAAATCCTATCAGGATAATGGAAATTCGCTTAGTCTGCAGGTTTGCTGAGGTGGGTGTATTTAATCATATAATTAAACTGTCATAACCTAACCTAACCGACCAAATTGGCTGATATGAAAAAATGTTGACAAGTTAGTACTACCAGCGGGATTCGAACCCGGCATCTTCAGATTATCACCCCGACACGCTATCCACTACACCACCAAAGCACATGGCTCTATTGCGTATCGTTGCGGTACAGTAATGGTGTTCCCTCAAGAGAAGAGACTACGTCACGCCATCGGTACGGCGCGGTGGTGGTGGGTGTTACCACAGAAAACGTACTACTATAACCCAGAATGCCAACCGCATGGTAAAAAGCATTAAGCGGTTTGAGAGAGCTTTGCCTGTCAATCCGTAGGCAGCGCCACCAGCGTTGCTATGCTATTGCATGGCAACGCTGGTGGCGCTGCCTACGGATTGACAGGCAAAGCTCTCTCAAACCGCTTAATGCTTTTTACCATGCGGTTGGCATTCTGGGTATAGTAGTACGTTTTCTGTGGTGTTACCCAAGATGCATGGAGTAAAAGGGTGTTACCATTGACTATATAACCACAACTGGTGTTACGATCGGGAACGTTTAATCAGCTAGAATGTATCATCCCCCACCAACACATGCTGAAGCAAAAGATCACTGTTTGGAAGCTGTTGTGGAGGTGGAAGTAGAGTTCCACTAAAAAACTGTTTGCCAAAGTTAGATTTTTTTAAAACCCCTCTATCTACCTCTATTCCATATGAACCAACCCCCAACATTGATGAACATAAATTTGTAGTTAGCGTCTACAACTGCTAATAATACAATAGAGAAGAATCCCTTGTAATTGTAGTACAAAGAGGACGACTTTCTACAGTGTTAGCAAAACGGGAGTGCCGATGGAGACCAGGTCAAGTCCCTTCAAACGCACGCACCCCCACAGGTCTCCATCGGCCGGCACTCCCGTTTTGCTAACACTTTATAGGGCACGTGATTCGTACGTGTTTCCCGTCGATCGCTCCAACACAATTTGGGAAATTCCATTTCACGTAGTACTCATTAGCCTTCATTTTCAGCCCATCTTTAGAAATGTTTGGTAAAAACAACGGCACTAGATTCTCTTTCAGAACAGCCAGGGCCCTTTCCACTATACGGCTTATTTAACTGATGGAAATTCAGTATTGAAATCTCAATTAGTGATATGATTCCCAACTAGCCAAGAATCTGAAAAATAGTGACATTAGAATACGTAGTAGTATTGGAACGAGGTATGCAATAGTTGCAATTTTGAGCGGAGCAAGTATTTTTTTTTATTTTCTTATTATTTTTACAAACAATTTTCAAATTCTCGATTTCAGTTGCTGACTGCAAAAAACGTTGGCGAAACATTAAAGATACTCATGACAGGAGGATTCGAGAAAACAACAAAACTGGTTCTGAGGCCCCACCCTGCAAGAAAGGGAAGAAGTGGCAATTAGAAGAACAACTGTCTTTCCTGCACACTGCAGATGTTAAACGAAAGTAAGATATAACATAAGGCTCGTTGACCCGAGTATGATAATATAATTTATTGTACAGAGTGTCCATGAACTCTCTACCTTAGGGCATTACTCCTGGGTAAGAAACATATAAATATCATATTTAAATTATGCGGAAGTCCTTAGTTACTCACACAGCCACCATTTTGTTTTTTCAGTTATTAATTTTTTTTCTAAAGAATGGTTAAACATACGAAATGGAAACTTTGCACAAACATTTATGACAACTAGACAAAGCTACCAAAAAATTATGACGATTTTTCTAATTCATAAAACAAAATGGCGGTTATTTAAAATGTTTATAAAATCAACGGTTTTTGAGTTATTTAAAAAAAATTTTTAAATGGCCGCCATTTTGTTTTATGAATTTGAAAAATCGTCATAATTTTTTTGTAGCTTTGTCTACTTGTCATAAATGTTTGTGCAAAGTTTCCATTTCGTATGTTTAACCATTCTTTAGAAAAAAAATTATTAACTGAAAAAACAAAATGGCGGCTGTGTGAGTAACTAAGGACTTCCACACAATTTAAATATGATTTTTATATGTTTCTTACCCAGGAGTAATGCCCTAAGATATTGGTAGAGAGTTCCGGGACACCCTGTATATTAGGTAATATATAAGATTAGACCATCCCATGACTTGTTTCCATGATATTACAGTCTAGGAATGCGGGTATGATATGTGGGGGGAAATGGGCTAATGTCAAATATAATACTTTTTGCAGTCTTATTTACTCATCAAGCACTCACTACTCTCCTCTACACCCACATCAACCTTCACTTTATAAGAGTCCCTTTTCTGCTCTCATAAAAAGCCTAATCCATTACGATATAACACAACTTCCTTCTGTGTTTGTTTTCAGAAGCTTCTGCAATATCAACAGCGGCAACGAAGAGAGTACTCGTGATGAACAAGATGATTCCATAGGTCTTAATGTATCTGACATTGAGCAAGACACCCTTGCAGATGCAGCAGCTTATGTCCCACCTCAGCCTACGCCTCCGAAACTAGAGTCTCACAAAAACAATTCAGCTGATCAACAAAAGAAAATGACTTACAGAGACAAAATCAGTTTTGCGATCGAAAAATGCTCCAAAGAGAGAGATGTAATGATAATGAATTTGTTACAAAAGGACGACGAAACAGACGATGATATAAGTTTGTTTTTTAAAAGCATAGCAAAGAGTGTGCAAAAGATGCCCCCTAATTTACAACAACGAGCTAAGCTGGAAACATTAAGTTTGATTTCAAATATTGAATCTGATATGTGGGCATCACGTGAAAATAACCATGGTGTTATGCTCCCTTCGCCTTCATTGAGCGTGCTCTCAGAAGTCAGTATGTCTTCAACATCACAAGATGCACAAACAACAAACGTACGTGGTTCATCTAAACCCGCAGTATAATGAAAGTGCACATTTTTTATGCGTATGATAGACCCAAGACTACCCTGTTTACCAACTTTACGGGTTAATGTATTGAAAGTTAATTTTACTTAAAAAGACTGAGTGACTTAATTGGCAATCTTATTCTTGTGTATCTGTATAATGTTACTTATTATATTAAAAAATACTTACTTTATTGTCATCATCATTTATCTCTGTTATCAGTTAAGTTAACTCTTTGCAATAAAATTCAATACAATAACGTGTTTTATTTTTCATATATACACACCTTGAATAAGTCAAGTTGTAGTTTCCACCATTGTATTAAGCTTAAAATACCCCCGCCGCAGCAAACCTGCAGACTAAGCGAATTTCCATTTGACTGATTGGATTTACACTGAAATGTCTACTTAAAAATATAACATTTATTCCCGATTTAAATAGAATTAGTTTAACAAGTGCTTAGGTTTGCTGCATCAAGGAGGGTAAAATTGTTTTTTTTTTGTAAAATGTTAATAGTTAGTAAGAAATAAAAACATTTTCCAAATTTGATCAAAATATGTTCATAAACAAGCAAACTACAACAGTTTACTTATTCTCCATAAGAATAACATGGGAATTTTAAATTTACAATTTTTTGGAATTTTCTCCGTAACCGTTAGGCGCATAATAACGCTTCAATATACTAAATTATTTGTTTTTTTTAAGCTCTACAAAATGGTTTGGAAATAAATTGCAAAATTTTAAGTTTTTTGGGTCAAAAATGGGCAAAACCTATTTTTACCCCATAAAACCCCCCGTAAACACCCGTTACCATGGTCCGATCATGCTGGATCGCGAACTCGTTCGAATAAACGTAGGTTTACACGTTTGTGCCAAATTTCATCAAAATCGGATCATTTTTGCTTGAGTTATCGTGCTGACGGACACATATATATATAAATATATAAATATATATATATATATATATATATATGAATTTGAACGGATGGTGTTTTTGGCTTCTAGGGACCTCAAAACGAAAAAAAAAATCGGTCCCGCGTCCAGGTCTTACCATGAGTACTACGGTAATAGCTTATTCCCTGTATGGGAAATTCGCTAAAAACTATTTAGTGCTTTGGAATATTGCTTTACAGTACGTCAATTTGTTACTGATTTATTAGTTTGTGATTCTTGTAGCAGCAAACCTGTGTACTCAACCGCATGGAGATTTATTTTTTAATCACTATTTTGTATAAAGTGGAATAACCTCAACGGCTACTCTTAGAAAACAAATAAATAAAGAATAAAGATTAAATCGGTTCGTACAGGCAATATATTTGTTCAGTAAGTACTTTGACTACTAATTGATCAAAATATTTCCCCATAAACAAGCAAACTACAACATTTTAAAATATTCTCCATAAGAATAACA